GAGTTCAAGACCACCCTGAGCAAGAGGGAGACCACATCTCTAAAAAATTAACCAGGTGTTGTGGCAGGTACCTGTAGTCCCAGCTACTTGGGAGGCTGAGGCAAGAGGATCACTTGAACCTAAGAGTTTGAGGTTGCTGTGAGCTATGATGCCACAGTGCTCTACGGGGGTGATAAAGCGAGACTCTGTCTCAAAAAAAAAAAAAATAAATTTATGCAGGACCCTCTACCAAAGGAGTTTTATATACTGAATTTGCCATGTGAGTCTTTAGTTTCTGAACTTTGTATCTAGTTCAATCCCAATACTTTTAAGATTAAAGCAAACCTAAACCCAGATCTGTAGAGAGGTCTAGGAAGGCCCTGGGCCATGTGGCTAATTAACAGCAGGGATGGCACTGAGGGGCCCTGACTCCAAGGCCACATCATCTGGGTTGAACCTGGATATACGTCCTTGTCTTAGGGGGAACTTCCTGAGTGTGGGGCCTGAAGACACCACTCAAAGAAGGTGCTAGCAAAGCACCATATAAGAGGCTTCCATTCACAAGCAAAATTCCCTCCTAAACGCAAATGTGCCTGGTCTTGAGCAATGTCTCAATCTGGGAGTACAGAATTGCTCTCTGCTCCTCTTCCCAACTCAGGGCAACTCAACTCAACTTTATTAGCTCCTCACACCAAAGATGGATTAGTTTGCGACATCTTTTTTTTTTTTTTGGAGACAGGGTTTTGCTCTGTTGCCCTTGCTGAGCGCAGCAGCGTCATCATAGTTCCTGCAGCCTCCAACTCCTGGGCTCGAGTGATCCTTCTGCTTCAGCCTCCTGAGTAGCTAGGTCTTCACACCCGGCTGATTTTTCTATTTTTTTGTAGAGATGGGGGGTGGGGTCCTCATTCTTACCCAGAGTGGTCTTAAACTCCTGGCCTCAAGCAATCCTCTTACCTTAGCCTCTCAAAGTGCTAGCATCATCACCTATCACTTTGAGCTAGATGGTACCAAGCTGAGCCAGCATGCCCGGCCACTTGCAGCATTCTAAACTGCTATCTCAGAAGAGAAAGAAGAAAAGGAAGGATCACTCACTTGTTCAACCACATAAAATGCAAACTGAAGGCGCTGGCGCTGAAGCATGGGAATCAGGTGTCTGAATAGGACTGGGAGGTGCTCATGTCTATTCCGGAAGGGGATCAGGATTGCCACCTGGAGTGGATCACAGCAAAAGAGGTTATCCAGTTAGTACCCTGAACTTCTGAGTCACAGGAGGACATCCCTGCAGAATTGGTGACCAAACACTGGGAATTCTGGGAAGCTGTGTTGTCCTCAACTTCCTCTACATAAACACCTGTGTTGGCAAGTCAACCCTTGGAACTAAGTGGATCTTATTCTTACATGCACCATGCCTTAGAGGCCACACATAGCAGGCTTGTCACGTGAATTCGCTCTAGACCCCAACCCACAAGAAAACACATCCTACGCTGTGACATGACTATATCTCTATATATTAACACATATATAAATATACAACTAAAATAAGCTTCACATAATAGTAGTTCCCCTTACGATGTGTGATGCATATATATACAGTCTTAATGCTGGTCATTAAATTGATCTTACACATCAATGCTAAGGTGTAAACACTAATCTGTTCCAGATCTGTATTGATCATGCTGTACCACCAGCACCTAACAGGGCTGGCACAGAATAAGCATTTTAATAAATACTTATTAAAGGAATGGACTTAAACAATTGTCTTTCTTTTTTTTAGAGACATAGTCTCACTTTGTCGCCCTTGGTAGAGTGCCGTGACATCACAGCTCACAGCAACCTCCATCTCCTGGGTTTAGCTGATTCTCTTGCCTCAGCCTCCCAAGTAGCTGGGACTACAGCCACCCACCACGATGCCCGGCTATTTTTTTGTTGCAGTCTGGCCAGGGCCAGGCTTGAACTTGCCACCCTTGGTATATGGGGCTGGCGCCCTGCCCACTGAGCAACAGGCGCGGTCCAACTTAAGCAATTGTCAGAAACTTGAACCACACCACTGATGCCGCTTCACCATCATCATGCAGAAAATCACCAAATACATCCCAAAGTCAAGCTAGATAATTTCACTTTATATTCCACTAAGCTTATAGTGACCAGTGGAGAACAGGTATGAAGCACTGACTCTGAGAAGATAATTCCTGCACATGTGTCACTAGAGACCTACTGACCCTCGCACTGCCTCGCTTTGTTAATATTCCTATTAGGAAGACAAATGGGTCTTGCTCAGTCACCAGAAAGCAGATTTAGAAGCTACAAGAGTCCCTGGAGAAACCTGTTCCTCCAAAATATTTCTTTTTTTTTTTTTAAGAGACAGAGTCTCACTTTATCACCCTTGGTAGAGTGCCATGGCGTCACACTGCTCACAGCAACCTCCAACTCCTGGGCTAGGCGATTCTCTTGCCTCAGTCTCCCAAGTAGCTGGGACTACAGGCGCCCACCATAAAGTCCAGCTATTTTTGTTGTTGTTGTTGCAGTTCGGCCGGAGCCGAGTTCGAACCCACCCCCCTCAGGATTTGGGGTCAGCACTCTACCCACTGAGCCACAGGCACCGCCCCTTCCAAAATATTTCTATCAAATTAAAATACTTTGCATGGGGTAGTAGGGCAAAAATTACGAAATGTCACAGTTAGCAAATCCCCTGTGGGCTTCCCCACACTCTGGGTTTGACCTCACACCCTACCTTCCAGCGAGGCATGCAATCAGAAGGCTTCCAGTGACCTCCGAGCTTGATGGCTGGGTCTTTGGAGAAGATTTCATGAATGTAATCCATTCCGATTTCACTCATGTTTATGTCTATTGGGCCCTCTGAACAGAGAGGAGGGAGGGGAAAGGATTAAGAGGTAAGAAAATGACAGATTCTTTTCTCTATGTCCAAGCTTTTATTCACTGGAGAAGTTTGATTTCTTTTTCAGCTGACTATGGTTCTAACAGGGATGGAAGTCCCCTCCTCTGCCTTCCATCTCCCTGCATCTCAGTTCATCGGTATTATCTGGGTAGAGAAGCAAATCAAGGAATTAAGACTGTAGCGTCAGGCTTCTGCCAATGGTGCAGAAAGAAATACAGACTTCAAGTAAAACAACAGCTGAACTTTTCAAAAAAGAAAGAGAAAAACAGTAGAGCTTAGAAAAGAGAAAAACAACAGAGCAAACCATGTCAGTTTGCTCCTGCAGCGGGCATAGACGCATTGCCTCTCTCAGTCATTCCCCAGTGAGTGTGGACCCTGAGTGATGATATCCAAACTCAGAACACACTGGTCCTCTCTAAGGTAAGTGAAGATGCAACCATCATAAACGCTGGTGAGAGGATGAGCTAATATTAGTTTTCGATCTCTCAAAAGCCTATTTCTAATCCACAAATTTTAGTCTTCCCAAACTAAGCTGATGTGTAAATGCAGACAAATGCAGACTTTAAAGGGAAGATCTATATATGTGTGCGGAGAGGCATGCAAATGAAACAGAAAGGCTTCCCAGACGACTCACACGCCCATAGTTAACTTTTCATATATGAATGAGAATAAGCTCAACACCAGGCATGACTATTTCTAACATTTCCTCTATTTTCACTGTGTTTGAGCTACAGCTGACTCTGCAAACATGAGAGTTTCCTTTGCCTGCTCATTTCTTTAAATAGGTATCAGAAGAACCATCTAAGAAGCCCAAAAGTACAAAAAGGTCTAACTAAGACAGTGATTTTCAACTGGTGTGCTGTGAAAATTTGTACAGATCATTAATTGAATTATTTTTGAAAGACGTTCAAAGCACAGTAAACATATTCTTTTTTGGGGGGGAGAATCAACATAATTTAAGTGTGCCATGGAAATTTAACTATGGGTTTCGAATGTGCTGTGAGATAAAAAAAGAAGGTCCAAGAGTTTGCTGGCATTGTTTTAGATTGCACATGGGTCGGGGGTTAGAGGAAAGGGAGGGAAAAAGGGAGGAAGGAAGGAGAGAGGAAAGAGAGGGAGAGGAGGGAAGAGGGAGAGAAAAGAAAGGAAGAAAGAATCCAACAATGTTTTTCAACCAGTACTCTGTTAAGAAAATAACTTCTAGCCAGGCATGGTGGCTCATGTCTAGAACCCAGCACTGTGGGAGGCTGAGGTGGGAGAATAGCTCAGAAGTTCAAGACTAGCCTAGATGACATAGTGAAACCTCACACATACAAAAAACACTTTTTCTTAATTAGCGGGGTGTGGGGGTACACGTGGGAAGATCATTTAAGCCCAGGAAGTCCAGGTTACTGTGAGCAATGATGACACCAATGCAGTCCAGCCTGGGTGACAGAGTGAGACTGTTGTCTCCCTTGCTCCCCCCCACAAAAAAAAGAGAGAGGGAAAGAGAAAAAGAAAATAACTTCTCTAACATCAAACAAGTTTAATCAGTGGGAAATACATACTAAAAAGACAAAGCGGGTTGCCTACACGATCACGTGCCTCATTTCTGGCTATGACGGATGGCATATACAGTGGTCCTATAAGATTATAACGGAGCTGAAAAATGCCAGCTGCTTAGCAATGACTTAGCCACCGTAACATCCCACCTAGTGTGAGACATTGCTTGCATGTCTGTGGTGATGCTGGGGTACACAGACCTACTGCTTGCTTTGCCAGTTAAATAATAATAAGTGACCATGTAGCTGGTTTATATATTTACTATACTACACTTCTTATTTATTATTGAAGAAAGTAAAATAGTTTTTACAAACTCCATGTGGCCTAAGTGTATGCAGATTTTAAGGTCTGCAGTAGTGCCCAGTCATGTCCGAGACCTTCGCATCCACTTCTCAGTCACTCACCGACTCGCCCCAGCACTTCCCTGCCGGTAAGCTCCACCCATGGTTAAGTGCTCTGTGTGCGCCATTTATCTTTTACAATGTATTTTTACTGTGCTTTTTCTGTGTTTAGATACACAAGTACTAAGCATTGTTACACTTGTCTACTCAGTTCAGTGACTGTGCTGTATGGGTTTGCAGCCCAGGAACAACAGGCTGTATCACATGGAGTAGTGCAGGGCTACTCCATCCAGGTTTGTTACGCTCTGTGAGGTTCCCACAATGATGAGATTGCCTCGTGATGCATTTCTTAGAACATACTCCCCACATTAAGTGACTGTGCTTTCTCTAGGACATTCTAATAGACCCCAAGACATATTTTTTGGGCACATGCAAAAGTGATAATGTAAAAAACGGTACCCAAGAACACTGGCAACCTTGAAGCAAGCTTTGAAGGAGCCAGAAGCACAAATGACTCTCACGGCCCTTTCCGAGGGCAGGATGTAGACAGACAGACAGGGAACAGAACCCTCTCCCGTTTACCCATAAAAGCACAGGAAGATAAGCCAGAACTCTACTCACTCATGGAAGGGAGCCTTTCAGGGCAGGTGTGGTTTGCAAAGTAGGTGAAGTCTTCAGGAAGAAATGTTGTGGTTTGTAGGAAGGTTTCACTGTGGTTCAAGTCAAGAGGATAATCTAGGGAGATAAGAGAAAAAGGCAACTCAGGCTGGCACGCATCATCAATCTTGCAACTCTCAGATGCCTACCAAAGCATCTAAGGTACTTTTCTTAGATGGCATCCTGGTGGAAGCAGGATTCGGGAGTAGATTTTTATTGTAGCTAAAAACATGAACTCATCAGTAAAGATGTTAACCAGATGATACATTCAAAAGGTGTGGGGAGGGGGCCACGAGAATGAAGAGACATTTCTGACTTTAATGATTCTACTATTAGAAGCTTGTCTGAAGACACAAATAAACTCCTTTTACTTCCTTCAAATGCTGATATCATACACAGCCAGCAGCATCAAAAACACCACTTATTTTTCTTTTTGATTACTAAATTAGTAACATGTCATTTATAAACCCCTCTAATACACAATCCTGGAAAGTCTTCCTCTACCTTGGGGGGAAGGGAAGACCTAATTTTTTCATTTCTAATTTTAAATTCTTTAAATAAAAATCTGAATAATTTAAGATCTACTTTTCAGTAGCAGTAGAAGCCTTTTAAAAAAGTAGAGACAGAGGAAATTAATTGCTCAGGACCTGGTAAACTATGTGTGGTCATTGTGAGGAGTCTTCGTTTTCTCCCCCACCAGGTGCCCAGAAATGGGTCGGGGTGCACGGCCTACTCTCTCCAGAGCTTCCAAACAGCAATTTCTTACTCTTCTGAAGCATGCATCTACTGCGTGAGGGAGATGCTAAGGGGAAAAACACGGGCGCTGAATTTCTGAGGCTGTGGTTTTACTTTTTAATTCAAATCTAACCTATTTCGAATCAGGACTTGTTTGTTCTTCTGGCAAAGGAGGTAGAACGGCAAAGACAGCTGCTTCTACAGTAAAAACTGGGAGAACAACAGACCCCCTTCCTACCGATCCACATGGCCACTGACTTGGGGGGCTCACAGGCCAACAATCCTGTCCTTCGGCTGCTGCGTATTCAGCTTTGCTCCACGCCAGTGTGTGTTAGAATTGCTTCGGAAGCTTTTAAAAATCCTAATACACAGGATATACCCGAGACCAACAAAATAAGAATCCCAGAGAGTCAGGTGCAGATAATTCCAATGTGTAGACAGGGTTGGTACAGCTATTCACACACACGGTGTAGGGGGAAAAAATCTGTTTTCTTCCTTGAATTACCAAATCCAGTTGAATTGGGACTGGAAGTACTAACCAAGAGATTTCCAGAAGAATCACCACTTTCCTCTCCAATATGAAGAAAGACCAAACACTTGCTCTCTGCTCAGAAAAAATGTGCAAATTTATGTGCATTATAACGATGTCATCGGGACAAACAACTGTGAAACATAAAGAATTAGCATTGTTGGCCAGGCACAGTGGCTCACACCTGTAATCCTAGCACTCTGGGAGGCCAAGGCAGGTGAACTGCCTGAGCTCAAGAGTTCCAGACCAGCCTGAGCAAGAGTGAGACCCTGCCTCTAAAAATAACCAGGCATTGTGGCAGCGCCTGTAGTCTAAGCTACTTGGGAGGCTGAAGCAAGAGGATTCTCTTGAGCCCAGGAGTTTGAGGTTGCTGTGAGCTATGATGCCACAGTGCTCTACAGAGGGCAACAAAGTAAGACTCTGTCTCCCCCCAAAAAAAAAAAAAAAGAATTGGCATTCTTTCAGAGTAAGCCCACTTAAGGATAATTACCTATTCAGCAAGCTGCCACAGTGAAGACCCTGGTCTGGGCATCTAAACCCAGAGAGAAAGAGGCTAAGGATGTTCATGTCCCTTGATATATTTACTGCCAAGCACAAAGGTGTGCCTTCACTCATCCTACCAGGTATGACAACAGACTTGTTCTGAAGCACTTGGCTAATGGAAGGCTGTTCTGTGTGACCAGGAGAGGAATAGTCACAGGCATGGGCAGATGTGTGTGTGCATGGGGGTAAGAAATCCCCTGCCTGCTATCTGCTTAAAGGTTACTAAGTTGAGCAGCACCTGGAAATCCATATTAAGGATGAGATAAGCCAGACCACTCAAACTCTCACCTCAAATACTGAGTGGCCAGACTGCAAAAGCAAGGATTCTCTTCCAGTGCCAATATTCTTTGTGTGTCTCAGCGCCTGCCCCCATGACTCCACTCGTAATAAGTTTTGCAGGATTCAACAGCTCACATACCAGTGGCTTTCAGTGACAACAAGAAGCTTCTCCAGGCAATTACTTCAGGCTTATTTCCAGGGACAGTGCTATCCCCAAAAGTATGTTTGTATTAGACAATCATCACTATAGCTTTTTTTTTTTTTGAGACAGAGCCTCAAGCTGTCTCCCTCGGTAAAGTGCTATGGCATCACAGCTCACAGCAACCTCCAACTCCTGGGCTCAAGTGAGTCTCCTGCCTCTGCCTCCCAAGTAGCTGGGACGACAGGTGCCAGCCACAACCCCCAGCTATTTTTTTTTTTTTTTTTTGTTGTAGCCATCATTGTTGTTTGGTGGGCCAGGGCTGGATTAGAACCCGCCAGTCTAGGGGGATGTGGCTGGCGCCCTTGGCTGCTGGCCCCACGGGCGTAAAGCCGCCACTGTAGTTTTTAAGAAAATCGACATTACTTAAATGTCACACTAAATATTCTAGCTGTGCTTAGCCTAATGAAGACTTCTGAATGTATGTGCCTCAGCATTATTTCAGGGAGGGGGTGTACACAGTCCAGGCTCCCCCCAATAAGCTCCTTTGAGGAGGAGCCAGGTCAGAGGTAGCTGTCTCAACAGCTTTAGGCCCAGAATACTTTCTCTGACCATACTGGGCAGAGATGTGCTTTGAAAAAAAGGTAGGTTTTCATTTGGACACACCCTCAATAAAATGCCATTTCTTTTTCAGTACAAGATGACTACCCCTCATCCAAAATGCTCTGGACCAGAAATGTTTCAGATTTTTTTCAGATTTTAGAATATCTGTGTTATACTTACTTACTGAGCATCCCAAATCCAAAAATCTAAATCTGAAATGCTCATTGGAGCATTTTAAGCATCATATTGGCACTCGAAAAGTTTTAAATTCGGGGGCTTTTGGATTTGGAATATTCAACATATACTTACTCACCAGGATGTGCCAGTAACAGAGAAACTAGTTAGGACGGTCATCTCTTTAGAAATATGTTATAATGCTTAAAATGTGTTTTCTGGTCAAATTCATTCACTCATGCACTCAGAAGTAATGTATTAAGTACCTTCTATGTGCCTAGCAGTGTACAAGCTCCAGGGTACTGGGAGTTACAGTGTACAAGCTCCAGGGTACTGGGAGT